CCCCCCCCCCTTCTTCGTGCACGTGATACGCGCGCAATGCGTATGTGCGTGCGTACGCGCGCCGGGTGTGGTCCACCGCGCTCGGCTGCATTATGTTTATGTTGTTTACGACATAAGACGACCTCCGCAAATATGTGGCCGGGTCTCGGCGGCGGACGAGTCGCGTGGGTGTGGTCCGCGCGCGCGGCTTCCACCGGCGATTTTTTCCCGGGGATGGATTTTACTGTCCGCGGACGCGTGCATCTTGTTGGAATTCTAAGAGAGGCCGTCTTGCCGGGACATAACACCGGGCGTTCACGAAGGGAAACGGACTCTGGCGAAAGGAGGAGGAGGAGGAGGAGGCGATGACGGCGGTTGCGCCTGACGATTCCCCTTCCTCGCGTGCTCGAGGCACCGCCGATCGCCACTGCGGACGACCGTGATCTCGCGCAGCGGATAAATCACTATTACCGATGAATTGCCGATGTAAATCGAAGTGGAGTACGTTCCGTAAACACGATTGTGATTCGAGACAGTTGTCCATCTGCAGGGTAAAAAATTTTAGAAACGATCCACGGAAATTTCGCGCCACTTTGATACGGAGAAAGTGTTGGAAGAGCGCACAGATATAATGTTAAATTGGCAAATTCACCTTGCTAACGTGTACGTGTATGTTGTATGTCGTATACGTTCACCTCGAATTTTTCAAGGATCCCAACCTCAAGTTCGATCGTTAAGACACCATGTGCGCGGTTGCAACGCGCGAAACTCGCAAGAACGTGCGACGTCAGGACGAGGGAAGCCCGAGCTATCAGTCGTGATGAGGAATATTGTCCCTCTCCTTCTCTCTCTTTCTTTCATCGGACACGTCCGTTGCGCAGTCCGACGAGTCCCACGAGTCGTAGGGGAAATCATCGCGCGCAAGTGATTTATCTTGCTACCGCGCTACCGACCCCCGATGGCCACTAGCGGGGAGCCGTCGAAAATCGCAAATATACGCAGTCATAGTGAGTCATTACCATCGGGCTTCAAGAGCGCGAGACCATAAGTTCTCCCCGCATATTGTTGCGGCGGCAGAAGCGGCGTCGGTGGGAAAAAGGCACCACCGCCGGCCGCGGTGCGTTACTTTGAAGTCACACCGTGAGTCGCGCTGGGTTAAGGAAATAAGAGGTGTCTTGACCTACGGAGCGGCGCGGAGGAGGAGAGAGGAGAGTAGCGAGCGAGTGCGCGAGTAATCGAGTGTTTCTGCCGTGTTCACGGTCCGACCATTATCATCTCTTTCTCTCTCTCTCTCTCTTTCTTTCTTTCTTTCTCTCTCTTCCTACCCTTTTTTCTTCTCTCTTTCTCTCGAGGTTCTTCTCCCGCCGTCCTTGCTGCTCTCTTTGGGCTCAGACACGATGAAAGGGATAAAAAACAAGGAATTAAATATAGAGAATCAGGAGTGAGATATTAGAGGTAAATTTTAGTTTAAAACACAATAAAAGAAACCGAGGGAGGAGATGAAGGCTTCCTGTGAAAAGTAAATGTTTCTTGAAGATAAATGATGAATTAATGACCACATCAGCGGCTTTAAATGTATATCTTATGTTATTAATATTAATAAGAAATATGCAAAGTGAGAAAGGAAGATTATTTTCTTCACAATTATCGATTGATTTGAACTACTCAATAATCGGAAAATGGCAATAAGACCTAAGTACCGATGTTATAGTACTATTAATGTGACATTACGACAAATTACATTTCCCTCACAAACATATACCAAAATATTTTGATATATGCTTGTATGAAACATTTAACCTATCGCAACGTTACGTTGACTGAGAATTTTGACTTTGTTTAAATTTTAATTTCCCTTAATAGTACTATATAGTAACATCGATATTTAGGCTTTTACCGCCGATTATTCATCGTATATCGCGCCAGAGCCGTGTAACTTCCCGTAATACGACTTGCGCCGACTTTCGTTTCTACGTCGATCCGAAAAAGCACAAGACTGGCTGCTATCTTCGTCGCTACCTACGACGAGCACGAACGCCTCGGCAGCTCTCCCACACGACGTGTTGCGTCGTCGCGATATCGCCACGGTGGCTGGTAGCGCGCTGGAAGAGCGGACAGATGGACGGATCCGAGGGTCACCGTCGGCGCCGGGGTATCATCGAACGATCATCGCGCCCACGTAGGGGCCGGCGTAAGCACGGGTCTCCTCCGGTCGCCGGCACACGCGGACGATGACCGGAAGCAACGAGCAGAAACGACCACCTGAAAGGTCACGGCGCCGCCGTTACCTTTCGCGCCTCTCTTCGGCCGGTCTCTCACACGGGATATAGGCGTGTCCTGCGGATTAAGTCGCGAATCGGCCGGCCGCGAAGTGCGCCAAGAACGAGGAAGTCGGGGAGGATCACACCCGGGGAACCTGACGAGCATTTCCTGCGTGAGAATCCTGTATGCTGAAAAATTCGCATCCGGGGTTTCGGCCGGCGAGATTCCTCTGGCCTGACTTATTGTCCGCGTCGATCGCCCCTCTCGAAAGGAGGAGAGGGGGGAGGGAGTATCGTCGTGCTGCGTGACGCTCGCTCGGGATGATAAGTTGACTCTGAAATCGGAATGCCTCGCACTCGCGGAATGTCATTTATGCGCCGTCGATGCGCCGAGTGGCTGGAATCTCCGCGCGCGCGATTGGCGTGAATTACCGACAGTCTCTCTGTTGTTTGAACGTTTCCGACGGAACGTGGGACTTGGCGTTCGATATTGTCGCGGACCTGTTTTTGTCGGGCGAGAAAAACGGGTGCGACGAAAAGAGACGGCAGTGACGAAGAGACAAAGGCAGAAAGAGAGAGAGAGAAAAGAGAAATAAGAGAGCAGCAAGGTCCAAAGCGGAGATCGACGAGAACGGGGGGGAGAGGCGTTGAGGGAGGAGACGTTGGGGTGGAAGTTGCGTTTCCTTATCGTAACGATTCTATTTCTATCGCGTTTATCGCCAGCGCGGCATAAGGAAAAATCGCGGAGGTACCAGTCCGTATCGTTTGAGATCGCGAGCGCGATATCTAACGCGAGGATACCGCACGCCCGCACCCACGCTTTCTTATATTCTCGACTTTTCATCTCGATACCGCCCGCGAGATAACCAGGAGAGGGAATGAGAGATCTTCCCTCGCGAAGCCCGGAATCGAAACGGCCGATCGCGCGCGATACGAGCCTCGTGAAGACGCGATTCCCGCGTGCATTGAAAAGAAAGGAAGGAAGGAGATCCAAAGGCGGGATCAGAAGATGGAACAAAGTTGTGGCGGAGCTCGTTTTTCTTTTTTTCCCCTCGCGAGATTATCGTGATTATATGGGATTCTTGAAATCAGGAGTCGAAGGAATTCGCCGGGAAATTCACCGACGGAATCGTTTTTCCGCCCGGAGGCAGATGACGTGATGACGGCACGCGTGACACGCGGCTGATGACGAAAATATCGACGAGCGAGAATAATTATCCGTTCCGGCGTGACCCGCTCGGCGATCGCGTATTCGAAACCCCCCGTGTTGCTTTTCAGAGAAACAGGATATGCAAATATATATCCGCGGCCGACAGGTTGATCCCCCGCGCCAACCCTTTATGTCATTATAATACTCATCCGAGGCGCGCCTCTGGCCGCGGATACCATACGCGCCGCGCGGGTCCGGGTCATCGCAACCGGCACACCGCCAAGGACGAGGGTCATGTGATTTTATTGTGCCAGGGGAAGGATTCCTGGACGTCTGCGGTCGGCGCCTGGGGAAAAAGAGGTAAAAAAGGCAGGCGAACAATTTCGCCGAACACGACCGCCGTGTCGCGGCGGTAATCAAGGCCGTTCGAGTAAACCGCGATTGAGGAATGCCGCGCCCCGCCGACCGGCGGTCATCCCGGGATCTCCTTTCTAATCCGCGAATTGCGGGAGGAAGTGACGATGATCGATGAATGTCGCCTTTTCGTGTTCCCGGCGGGATATCATTCATTCCCACCTATCGGACGTCGAGATCGATCGCGAAGAAGCGATATATGTCGTGAAATTGCTCAAGTTTTAACAAAATATGTCAGATCAAAGGTGACACGTAAGGATATACAATAAGTGTAACGTACACACAAGTGTACAAGTGTACATAATAATGTGATTTTAATGCTTTTGTTTATTTCAGTGATAATTTCCTACAGATATCACACACGAATGTGTTTCTAGAAACGTCGATCTTCAAACATCTCGAAAAGTAGTTGTTTCGCAATGAAATGCGCAATAATTTCCATAAGACTATCGTATCTAGGTAAAGTGTTGCTGATTTTTTTTCCTCTAATATATATATATATATACATTGATTCCACTTTAGAGAAAAGATTGGGAAGCCGCGAAGGCTCGATATTCCGAATATTTGTACGCTCGAGTCGGTTGTGGAGATACTTCTGCGCTGATCGATTCTAGTTTAACATCGCGTCGCGCACGAATATAACCGTGTATACGGTTTTGCATTGTACGCCTCCTCCCCCCCTCTCCCCCGCCTCCGGCTATGATAATTAATAGTCACCGTGAGCGCGAGAGCGCGCAGGAATTTTTTCCTCGCCGATGCGAGCACGCGGTTTATTAGATACACACAGCTCCGTGGAAGAGGCAATAAGCAGAGTAACATATCGGGGCTCTCTCTCTCTCTCCTCCCCCGGCGCACCGTCAGGAAAATTAAAAGCTTGTTACTTGATCCTGTTTGCTGAACTTATGACATGTATGGCTCTCAGTTCGGTATGCACTTTATTATTAAACGCGCGCAACACGCGTACCCGAAAGGGGAACACGTTTCATACAAAACGGATACCGCGCGCGTAAAAACGAGCCTCGAGATTACCGCGAGCGGACGGCCTTGGTGTCATTCGGACCGGCGTGGCAATTATAATGGCAATGTTACGTTAATAATGAAAACGCGAACTCCTTTTCTCGATCTCCCCCTTCCCTTCCTCTCCTTCCATGAGATCCAACGAAACCGTGTCTCCGGATTCGATTCGCTACCAGCGTTACACGCGTGTGCGCGACGCACCGTGAGACCTCCCTTACAATCAAGTTTATCTTTATTCAACATTTACAATTCTGCTCTCCAAATTTGGGACGGATTATTTCCAATAACAACGTTCTTTCTGTCAAATAATAGAGTCCTCTTGAATGAGACGATAAAATGTTTTCACTGAAACAAATTTTCGTCGAATAAATGGAAACGCTAAATTTCAAGAAATCTTTTTCTCTCTGTGTGTAGCGACGTTAGACACAGATTTGCTATCTTGTGACGAGACACTCGCAAGGTTCAATTTCTGCTAGAGATGTGATCTCGGTAAAAGAGAGAGTTCTCCGAACAAACCGTAGTAGCGAGTAAGCTGAACAAAAGCGCTTCGCCGTCACCCTGGAGAACGTCTTCGGGGGACGGGAGATCGCGACGACCCTTCGCGGCTCACCTTCGCGTGTCCGTCGAACGCCTTTATGCCGATCGAGTGCTCGCCGATTCAATAACGCACGGATAACCGGAACTCTCAGTCTCCGTACGATCTCATTAAGCGCGTCACCGCGTGGCAAATGAAGCTTGGTAAGCCGAGGTCGAGCGTAGCCTCCGGTGCGCGAAACCAGAAAGCCCGGGCTCTCGCGTTACCACCATCGGCGAGATTCCACATCTGCGCGCGATTGGGATCGTCGAACGACCTCCGGTAAATCGAACCAGTTCCGCGCACCCGGAGCTCTCCTTCTCTCTCTTTTTTCTTTTCGTCCTGCGCTCCCATTCAACCTTTCACGCTCTCTAACTACGACTCCCGCCGTAATTGTGCGCGTTATCGCACGCAAAAATCTCCCCTTCTTCGTGCGGATCGTAACGGATAATCATCAAGGGTCCCGTCGGGGTCTCATTGCGAAGGATTAAACATTTCGCCAGCGCCCCGATGACGCTCCTCAATCGCGAGCACGCGGCTGGTCCAACCAATCGCCGGTGCTTTTCAGCAGAAGCAAAATGTTTCTCCAGCCTCTGTGAAAATTTGATACAAAAAGTGCGGATTACATCCGCTCGACTTCTCCCTTCGTTAAGAGGAAGAGGAAAGGGGAAAGAATTTGGAAGCAATTTGGCGATGAATGCTAAGATTTGGTGAATAATTGCCGACCATACATTCGATTACCGCAGCCGAATAATTTAGTTCTACACGTTGCACATATGGTACTGCAATTCCGTGCATATTTTATATATATATATATATATATATATATATATATATGTGTTTAGTACACGGAACGGAATTATTGAATTGCAACAATCGAATGTCAGGTCGACAGATGTTCACCAAATTTCAGCAGTTATTGCCAAATCCTTTTTCCAGTGTTCTGAAAACCTACTTTGACGACATTGACATTCATTAATTTTAACTGATTTGATTCCACAGATTTAATTTTGATTCTACGCTAAAACGGCGAAACAACGAAACATGGAAATTTAATATATCACCGAGATTAGAATAGAAAATTATATTATTAGAATTGGAATTGTGTGCGATCCTATTTTGCTGCCTCAGCTCTTGCTGTGTTATAAAATTAAAGACTTAACGTCGGGCCAAAATTTCGAGTCAGAAAATCGCGAGGACGGTCGAATTCCTACGGCGATCCGTCCGTCCGTCCGTTCGTCTTACGAAGAAAAGCAACGCGTCGGATCCGGTACGCGGTGACTTTCCTCGCTTTACGACTCGCACGAAATTGCCAGGCCGAGGGCGGCGGCGACGATGACGACGGCTGCTGCTGCATGGTGGGCGAGGAAACACGCGGGGATCCAGGATCGATCCGGGATCGACGTATCCCGTCTCAGCGAGCGGATCCGCCTTGTCCTTCGGCGATTCCTCGGGTTCCTGGTTCGAAGACATCCCGCGCGGCTCGCAGCCGCGTATATAAGTCAAAACCAGATCGGGTGCAAGGTGCATAGCCCGGACAGTCCTTCAGCCGGTAAGGAGGTCGGCAGAAACACATCGAGCACGATGCAGGCACTGGTAAGCGTAACTTGCTCTCTCTCTCTCTTCCTCTCTCTCTCTCTCTCTCTCTCAGTCCCTCTTCATCTGCGTCGTTTCCTAAAGAGTCCTCTTGTCCAACGCTCTTTATGAAATTCTCTCTTCGACCGGACTGCGAGAAGCCGTCCTGAGCGAGAAGGGCGGCTTATCGGCGCGAAACGCGCAACACCCACTGCGATAAACGTCTCTCGGTGCTTCGATCGCGACCTCGTGTACTGATACAGGGAAAAGAAGGGGAATTAACATTATTGAATTTAATTTACAATTAAAGATGGGAAATTAATCCTAGCTAGCCACACTTATCTTCGAGTCTTCAGTTCACCACATTCCGGCCCGTGAGACCGGCTCGACTTTTGCTGCTTTGTTATTTTCATTCCGATTAATGTTTTTAAACTTGTAATGGGAATCAGAAATACAGAGTCGGAATAAGACGTTTGCGATGTTAGGTTAAGAATATGATTGAGGCTTAAATTTAACTTATTATCACAAGAAAAAGAGTGTTTTCGGAAAAAAATTCTCAATTGGATTTACAAGCGCGATTTAAGAAAAAATAATGTTCGCTCGTTATAGCGGACTGACTATCTTAAAAAAAAATATAGTACGCCATGTGTGGAAACTAGAAAACCGAAAAACGCGATCCACTGGACCGGGATGTAGCGAGCTAGGGTTGATACAAGAGGAAGAGAAAACAAAAGAGCGCGACTCAACTTTCAAGAGAGAGAGAGAGAGAGAGAGAGAGAGAGAGAGAGAGAGAGAGAGAGAGAATCGTTCGTCGAGTAAAACTCATCGATCTTCGTTCAGGTTGTCGATAATTAAATCGGATAGTTTTCGGTACACGAGACCGCTGTCGAGACGCATGGAATAGTCGTTACTTCAGCCTACTATGTGCACGACGCTCGTAAACGAAGCGCCGGGGTCTTTATTGCAGGTGGTGAATAGCGCGACGGACTCGGTGACGGGGGTGGTGGGCGAACATCCGCGGGAGTGATGTATGAGTGGGCGGCATAATTTATTTGCCGGGGTTGTGCGCGCGCGAGAGACCACTCTCTCTTTCTCTCTTCTCCTCTTTCTCTCTCGCCTCCGCCTCTCTCGGGCTACTCGCGTTTCGTCGAGATATAAAAGTACTGAAAAATAAACGCGTGTAAAATCCGCGGCTCGAGTGCGCGACCGCAGCGCGTTTTACGGCGACGTAGCCTCCGCTGAATGGCACTCTGCTTATTCGGCGCACCACCGGCTACCTAGAGAGAGAGAGAGAGAGAGAGAGAGAGAGAGAGAGAATCCCCTCCGTTGTTTTTCACCGCGACGTAACTTTTCCCCCCGCTGGTCTTACGGGATACGGCGGTTTTACAGCTGCTTGCTTAGCGTTTATAGTGGCTTAAATCGTTAGATATTGTAGACAACGCGCCGTCCGCCGTTTCCGAAGTAAAGTTATTCATTCGAGCGCGAAGGAGAGGCGCATCGCGTGAGTCCTGCTCCTTGTTTGCGTTCGTAAACTAATAATAACGCGATTCTGTGGTTCTCGGGGATTTTTCGCATCGCCAATTCGAACGAAGATTCCGATTTCGATGTTATATTTCTCAACGTTTGAGTCCAATCACGCTGTTCGATTATTTAACTCTCTTATCCCCGAATGTATCTCTAATGGTGTATTTTTAATGAGGATTATTTCAGTTTTTAATAGTAACTTATTGGGACATTGATTGATCTATTGGTAAGAATTATGATATAACTTACTATTGTTCGGGCGACAATATTAATAACGATCAACACTGATTAATATAAACTAACGGCAGGTTTTGAATTTACCCGGGACACGCGTGTCGCCACACAGTAGTGTGAAAGAGATAAATTCATGAGATTTATTTGGCGTCATACATTTTTTGTGATTCCGGGAGAAAATTTTACATATATATATTGTATAATATAAGGCGTATAATAATAATATAACACATAATCATATGTAAAATATGCCCATGTATAAAAATATATAATTATATATAATCATATACAATTATGTATTTTTATATACGAACATATCCGATATTCAATTATACTATGATAAATATTTCCATCCGGAATGAAAGAAATCGCCCTCGTATCAGGAAAAGCTGATCATCTTTTCGTGATGCTCGAATCTGCGAATAAATCTATTAAACTGTAGAGCAGTTTCGTGGTCCAAGACAGACTTTTTTTTTTAACTTTTTCTTAAAAAAGCTTGCACGCGTCTGACGATAAGGGAACGTTTTGTTCGCGCGTCAGCGCGGGACGGTTTGAAACGAAAATCCCGATCAGACCGGTCGGCTTCTTCTCGCGCGGTTCGGCGATTGCGCTCCATCACTTCTCCCTGCGAACGGCCTGTCGCCGCTTCTTCAGGCCTTATTGGATCGTAAAGAGAGGTTGAATCTCCCGAGTGGCTCATGCAAGTATAAAACTTACCCCGTCCCACGTGTGAGCCGGCTGCAAGTGCCGGCGTTGCGCCTCACACCGCCGATACCGGGCGTAAAATTCGTCTCGCCGACCATTCACCTCTCTCGTGCCTCTCGTTCGGAAAGGGACTCTCGCGAAAATTCCCGTCATGATAATTCTCGCGAAGGCTTCGCGAAGGGACCGACAAATCGCGTGTCCATAACGAGCGTTCCGATAGTTAGACGTGTCTGGATATTTCTTCTTCTTTCTTTTTCTTTATGAAAAGTGGCTGGCCTGGTTTGTCCAGTGCGTTTTATCCAGATTCTAACTTGAGAGATCCTACCGTGAGCATTCGCGACGTGAAACAAATTCGATGAACGCCGGCGAGTTCGGAGCTTCTTCCAGTAATCCCCGATTAAGATAAGATTGGAAACAACATCGCGGAATGACGGGGAGAAGGCGGTCGTTAACGGCTTCCGTGTTCCCGAGAGAGAGAGAGAGAGAGAGAGAGAGAGAGAGAGAGAGAGAGAGAGAGGATAAAAATCTTATACTCCGCAGATTCCAGTTTTCGCGATCCTCAGCGTGGCGGCGGCCGCGCCGTTGACCCTGCTGCCCTACGCCTATCTCGCGGATCCGCTTCCGGTGTACCAACAGTCGCAGGACACGCGAAACGGGGTGCACGCGTACAGCTACGCCGGCGGGCCGTCCGCCAAGGAGGAAGTGCGGGGCCTCGACGGGGTCACGCGCGGGTCCTACAGCTACGTCGACGCACACGGAATCCTGCAATCCGTCTTCTACGTCGCGGACGAGAGCGGCTTCCGCGTAGCCGCGACAAACCTGCCGACCGACGGCGATCTGCCGACGGAGACCGGCGAGGTCCTCTTAGCCAAGAACGCCCACCTGGAGGAGCACGCGAGAGCCGCGCAGGAAGCGGCGAAGGAGGAGCGTTCGAGCCGCAGGAAGCGCAGCGCCGAGGCACCATCGCCGGCCGATCGAGATAATCTCCCGACGGAAGAAAAGCCGCGTTCCCAGGAAGAAGACCAAGCCGGCCAGCCAGCGAAGCCGGCGACTTCCCAGGAACTGCCGGCGAAGTCGGCGAGGAAAGCCGAGACCATCGTTGCGCCCGTTTACGGCCTCCTGGAGCCGGCGCTGATCCCGAGACTGAGCGCCGTCGCAGCGACGTCTCAGCAGTCTCAGAGTCGCGTCGACGTTCACAGCGACGACATCCGGCTGAAGGCTGTTCAACCGACGGTCGGGCTGCTCACCGAGCCCGTGTACGAGACGGTGATCCTTCCCGGCCAAGCGCCGTTGGCGAGCTCGCATCAGAGTTGGTTCCAGGTGCACAGCGCTCTTCTTCGCGCCGAGGCACCGGCTGAAAAAGCTGCCGAGGGTCCGGAAACGACGGCACGACCGATGACAGCAGCGTCGTCGCAGGTCAGCAGCAGCCCACCTGCTGTGAAGTATCAACTGGAGACGCTGCCGTTGGTGGCTACCTTGTCGGGCTACAACGAGAATCGCATTCAGCTTCACAAGAACCTCGGACTGGAGGGCGCCGATCGCAAGGACGCCGTGAAGATCGACGCCGCACCGTTGACGATAGTCGGCACGACGGTCGCTGCGATCCCGGTCGTCGCCAGGGAGGCTCTCCCGCTTGTCACCGCGGTCTCCAGCCAGAGCAGGACTCAGATCCATCGTAACGCCAAGCTCGAGCTGGCTCTGCCGCTCGTGAGCGAGCCGACTCATCTGTACCTGGCGACTCCCTACGTGCGAGCGTTCGCTAACTGGCCGATCCTGGCGGCGCCCATCGCCCAGTCCTCCCATCAACGCGACCAGATACACTTGAACGAGAAGATCGAGGTGACCAAGTGAAGAGCAGTCGGTCCCGTCCAGCCTCGTGGAGGCCGCTCGACTCCCTCCGGTTTTCGCATATATTTATTCTCACGATATTTCCCGACGAATTTTCTCGTTTTTTTTTTTTTTACTGTGTAGGATTTATCTTCGAATAATCGTGCGGACGCGAATTGGTAATCGGTAGACTTCGCTTGTCTTGCTGCGAGAAGCGGAAATTAATGTCGGACGACGAACGTCAAAACTGCGAGAGCCAAATATTCGATGTCGATTCACTCCGTTTCAGAAGTTCCGTTCGAAATCGTGATCGTCGAGGGTGAGCTTGCCCTCCCCTGAAACGAAACACCCCGGCAGGAATTCTCCCTTACTTCGAAGGATCTTCGAAGGATCGAGACGAAGGTTTTATGCGGATCGGTCACTATTGTATTGCTCAAAGAACTGGGATAAGGCATTTTTTAAGCGTTTTCGGCGGAGAAGCTCCGCGAGTTCGAGACGCACGGCAGTGTAGCTGTTCGTGGTAGCTCGCTTTTAACAATGCGGACATCATCATTATTACTCGTCCTCGCCTGTTTATTCACAGCGACTTCTTTTGTAACGCACGCTCCCTCGTTACGAACGCCTTAACATTCCTGTGTGTCAAATTATTGTACGATTTATTAAAAGATGAAAGAAAAAGCATACGCAAAGTATCAATTGCGCACAATATGATATGTCCACCACCTTTCTTTGTCACGCGCAGTGGACATTGGACCGTTGACTCGGACTTTGAATGCCTCTCTCTTCGCTCGCGGAGGACACACCAAGTGTCCGATAGTGTCAATCCGCTCGGGGATTTAAATTGAGCCGTCCGGCTGTCCGGTTGCGCGAAGAATAGCGATCGGTTCTTGAAGGCCGGCAATCGGCCCCTCGCGTTTATTCAAATCTTCGCGGACATCGTTGAGGGAACAAGAGAGAGAGAGAGAGAGAGAGAAAGAGAAAGGAATCCGCGAATCATCGCGAATCCGAGTCGCGACTTTAATTATCCACGTTGGCTTTTAATTCCTGGCTGCCTTCGCGGACGTGCCGCGGGAATTTACATCACAATCCCGGGTGGTATTCTCTCTCTCTTTCTCTCTCTCTCTCTCTCTCTCTCTGTCATTAGCCGGCCGGTCGATTTGTCGCCGTCGCGTCTTGGCCGGACGAAGACTCGGAGGGGCAGAAACTCGCGCGACCTTGACACTTCGGATTCTTACCCGTCGCGAATATATTACGACGTTAAACTGCCCCCCCCCCCCTTCGCTTCGGATATCGCGTGTCCGCGAGTAACGAGAAGATTAACGGGGATCTCGAATCCGCGCGTCCCACCCATGTCCCATTACGTACGTCCTCAGGAAAGGAGGATTTTTCGGAGTCGCGTGTCTCGCTGGAGGAAGAGGAGGAAGAAGCGTCTCCACATAGAACGGAATGTTTGCTGTTATTATTATTATTATTTTTATTTATTATTAGTTTGTTATTATTATTGAAAATTTCTCTTATCGTACAGGTTGAAGTCGATGATTATCACCACCTTCCGGATATCTTCGAGAAGCAAAAATATTTCCATCAACGACCGGGTGTCCGACTTTATCCGATGCTGGATAAAGATGGAGGGGTTTTACATTTACAAAAGTGTTCGAGATTTATATAGTAAATAGTTTCATTGCTTCATATAGCTTGTATATTGGCGAAACAAGAGTTTCTCATTAGTTGGTAAACAGGAGAATACGCGAGAGAGCGCGCGAAGATTACACCGCTGGCATGGGAGGCGTCGTCCGGACGAAGAAGAAGTCTTCACTTTTATCATCGAGGTGGAAGGTGGTGAACTCGTGAACATGCGCGCGCTCGCCGAAGGACACTCGCGGATTAGAGCGCGGGGCGCGGGGAGAGGCCATCGGAGGAAGGTCGGTGAACGCGATCGCGCATAATCCGCTGAGGAACAGCATCCGCTGGTGGACGCGGAGGAAATCCGGCGGTAACGTGCTCGCGTAAGATCCCGCGTCGTCGAACGCTCGCGCGGAGGAGAGAGAGAGCGAAAGAGAAAGAGAGAGAGAGAGGGACTTCTCCTTACAGGACCCTCCTTCGAACCCGTTTTCTCTTGTCGAGAGACCTGTGCGCGCGTTATTATTTTCGCGAGTGTTCGGCGCACACACATGTACGCGTGCATGTGCGTGGGCACGCATAACGGATGGCTCGCAGAAGACGCCGTTGAAACGCTTCGTACATTATGCCGGATCGACGCATTACGGCCACGTAGTAACCAGTAATATTCCTTTATTGTCGAACCCTGGGCCGCCCTTCGCGTATTAGCCTTAATAAAAGGCCGTATAAATTCCCGACGCTTTTTTCAACGCGCGCGCGTCCGCTCGCGTATTCTATCTCTCTCTCTTTCTCTCTTCCACACGGTAAACGCGAAATAATAATGGTCACCGTAAATCACTCGCGGTACCAATATTTCTATCGGTGGCCGGGCACAAGGAGATAAATGTAGCGCAATGCGCGACGCAAGGAGAGAGAGAGAGAGAGAGAAAGAGAGAAAGAGAGAGAGAGAGAAATAGATAGATAAATAAATACAGAGAGAGAGAAAGAGAGAGAGAGAGAGAGAGAGAGAGAAGAAAAAGGATCGAATCGCCATAAACCCTCGCCGGGCACTTTGTCTCTCGGGATATCATATTGTCCCATCGTGCAGGAAACGGAGCGACACTTGAATCAGTTTCGCTGCCGTCTCGAAACACCGTCGATCGATCGATCGCGCGCGCGCAATAAATAAGATATATTAGATTCACGAGATGTACAGCGATATTCTTGAAAAATGCGTTTTTCGGGGTGGCGTGCGATAAACGACGAGTAACGTTCGATTTTTCCTCCTCATCCCCACCCCTCTTCTCGAAAGAAATAGAGGAAACCAGCTTTTGCCCAAGTGACGCGGGTAGACGACTTATTATTTTAAATTCGAGCGAAAAAGACAAAGAGAGAGAGAGAGATTCATGTTCAAACAATTATTTTTCTCCCTTTCGGTCGGTCAACACGAAAAAGGATGAAAGAAATCATCATCATCACCCTCCATTTCTGGCGCGATATGTTCGACGATCGAGACGACTCGCGCGTATCGCGCGGGAAAATCAGTCCTCGTCCCTCGTGCGCAACGGGACGCCAGCCCGTGGTGGTGTTGTTCGTGATAGGACACACGAAGGTGTGCCAGGACGAACGGAGGAGGAAGGCGGGCAGGACGATTCGCGCTCGCGATAATAGAAACGTCCAGAGCAAACGCGCTTCGCTCTGTACGTACGTACCCGGGCGTTGGTATCCCCGTGCGCCGATAAAAGCCGCGCATACGTTAGCTCGCGCGCGCCCGCGCTCGGGCCCCGCAGATGGTCCGTGCCCGATAAAGTCCGGCGGATAATGATTTCCGAGACGTTCGCCCCGGGGCATATATAGCGGCCCCTTCGATTATTCGCACTTCGCGTCACGCGAACGTGCGATAGCGCCCGATGTTTACGCCCGAGATTACGTTTCCGCGTGCGTTCACCGAAATAGACGCGCGCGCCCCTCGATGGTCGTATAAACTCCGCGTCCCTCCCGGCCGAAGACTAGACGCGCAAAGCGGCGGTAAGCGCTCGGACGCGGTCCGAATTTAGAGACGCCGAGTTAGGAAACACCGGAGCTGGAAACGCGTGAGAGACACGCTCGTCCCGAGTGCCCTCTCGGGTGGCGAGTCGATTGGGACGAAGGTGAGAGACGATTTTCCGTCTCGATTCCCAGCTGAAGCTGCGATATTCTTCGCAACACTTGAAGGGAGTCCAATGTAATGACGAAAGTTAATGATCGAGGTGGCTGATGGAGATGGATGGATCGTAATGTAGGGAAACGTTTACTTATTTATTATTAACGGGACTTATTGTTAACAGGGACACCCTTCGGTGTAGACGAAAGAGAGTCTGAGTCGGATGTTTGTTTTTCATCATTCAAGCGGACATGTGTGTATGTGTGAGACATTTGTGTGCGTGTGTGTGGCAAAACGTCGCGCGGAAACAGCGGGCCGAGAAGAAGGTACGTTTCTATCCTCGCGTTGCAATTTCTGCGAAGCGAGCCTACGATACGTCGGAGATATGAGAAAATTAATCTTACCCGAGCGCCTCCCTCGCCCCGGACAATCTCACGTCACGATCTGCTCTGTGTGTGCGCGCGTGTGTGTGTGATCCACTTCGGCTTATCTGCGGCATGAAAATTTCACGGATCCCCCGGTTATCTCCGCTCCGCGTAAGAGTAATTATATACCCTCGGATCACAGATTTCGGCGATTTCGCCGGTACTTCGCGCCGAGGGGATGTGAATGATACGTGCAACAATAGCCCGACGTGCGATAACACACACCACGCACGAATCGCACAGGTGTAACGACAAATATATACACACTTTGTTTTGTTTTTGCGCTCGCCGCCCGCGGCGATCAACCCCGCGCGAGAAACGTGAGAAGGGTGGGAACGCCGGGGCGGGTTGAGCGGGAAGCGCGGAGAGAGAGAGAGAGAGGGGGAGAGATACTCGTCTCACGCACTAATGCGCCAGAATACGGCTTATTAAAGCAAAGATCGATCTTAATTGATCGCGGCCGTGTGTAGCTCAGCCAGCACGCGCAACCTTGCGGCGCTTATTGTTGCGCGCGTTAAGGCAAGTTCTCTCTCTCTCTCTCGTGGGAGGGCGAGCCGATAAAAGCGGAGTAGCACCGGTGCCCGGTGCAATCAGCAAATGGAATCGTTAGTTAGTCCTCTCGTAATCTTCGATCGGACGTTAGTTCCTCCTTGTAGTACACGCTCGCGGCGAACGATCGTGATTCACGATCGCGTCGTGCACTCCGCGAGCCCGGCGAGCGAGCGCGCTGTTTATCACCGGCAGCCCCGCGCCCGACTAATTAGCATATTATTTATCGGCCTTTTATAATTGCCCCGCGCGAATTTCCGACGCGAAAATAACGGCGCGATTTATATCGGGAGCCTAATTTAATTTCGCCCGGCGCGACGAACCACCTGCGTGTGTCGATGCGCGTTCCCAAGAGCGAGCGACTCGGCGATGGTTATCGCCGGCGTGATATTACATATCGATTTTTACGCGCGACTATGTTGCGCTCTCGGGCTCTTAGCGACGAGCGTTTCAGCTCCCCTCGGCGATACGACGTAAATCGAGTCGAGATTTCGGTTTTATGTTCAGTATATAATTTCGCAACACAGGAGGAAATAAGACAGTAAAACTGGTTTGACTCTAATGATTTAACTCACTTCTGTTTCGGCCTTGTAATTTGCCTTCAATTTCTCTTTCTGTTGTTTTTAACGTCGAAATAGATCGCTTTGAATATGATCATGTGAATCTAATAATCGAAATATCGAGAGCATTTATGGCTTGAAGCGTTCAAAATATTCCTCTCGGGTCTTCGGCGATGAACGTTTCAGTTCCCATGACGGCACGATATGATCCGAGTCCGTAATTTTAGCCCTGCGTTTAATCTTGAATTTCGCAACGCAGGAAGATAGTGAAATAGGTCACATTCTAACGATTTAATTTACTCCTACTTTGACCGTGATATATTTGCTTTTTTTTCGCTGTATTCAACATCAAAACAGGTTGCTTCGAATATTCATGTGAATTTAATAGTCGGAATATCGAAAGCT